AACAGTTTGTCACAGCCCCTCGTTTGTTGTCCTCTTCTCTCTCTCTGCCTACGGTTTACCGGGCAGTTCTATTTGTGACGATATATATATATATTTTTTTTATTTTTAACTCATGATTGGCTACGAATTTGAACATGACTCCAAGGCAAACGTTGCTTGTATTGTTATTTTACATAACATATAGTTTTTTTCAGATTTTTCTTAGAATTTATTTTATTATTTTTTTAAAATATTTTTTATATTTGCGTTCGAAGGGTTTTGAGCGATTGTTCGCATTCGGACGAACATGTTCGCGTTCGCCTCCGAACGCGAACACGGTGCTATGTAGGATTAACCTATTTATGACTGGAAATCCTTGCTTAGAATGACAGTCCAATTCATGATCTCGTCCAAACTTTCATTCCATCTCTAGCATGCAGTTCAAATAAGAAGGGATACCCCATTCTTGGAAGGGAAGTTTTCAAGTAAGACGGAAAATGTTAAAATTGGAATGACATTTTTAAAGATAGAATGAAAATTTAAAATTTAGAATGCAATTTTACTCTAGAATTATTATTTAATTTTGAAATTTTTTCCGTTGTTGTATTCTGTCTCTTTGTACTCTTTCATTTCAAGCAGCGTCATCCACAACAACAAGGTAAGTTTGTATGTCAAGTCCAAATGACCCTCCTTCTTTTTGAGGCATTCGATAATTGTTGCCTGTGAAGAGATGACGGAGGCAAGGTTTTTGCCTTTGTTGTGATATCGACCCCGTTTAATTGCATCAGAGATCAGCCCTGCGTCATACCAAAGGTCCTCATACAATCTTACGAGTTTCTTCCTGGTGTCATTCGACATTATCGATGCTCTTTCTTGAAACAGAATGGTGATTGCATGTTCTTTTAACCAAGTTAGGTTTAATTCCGAAAAATTTTAATTCAGATCAAAACGGGTGAACTCTTCCCCTAACTGGCCACTCCAATATCCAACCAAGAGGGTAAAACACCGTCTCTGAAACAAGCCTCAAAAAGTGAGTTTATCTGTTTTTTTTCTTTTCTTGAATAAACTCTGGCTGGAGGCGACATACTGATGGTAAAACGTCAACGCTTGGGAGAATAGCCTTTACTTGAGTATAGTTAATATAGAGGCCACTAATAATGGATTCCGAATACGTTAACCAGAACAACCACTTTCCACCACCATGCAACAGGGGAGGTGGGGGCGGTAGAACATTTTTACCTCCAGCTTTTCACACAGGAGCATGACGACTTGGCTAGATCGTTGCTGACAGGCGAATTAAATTCGAAGGGAAAAACCTTCCAGTTCACCTGACTCTAGCGTATTTCCGGTTGTCTTCATGTCATAAGTTGTCGAGGCGTCTTCCTCCAAAGAGGCACAGAGGGCTCTTGCGGCCACTCATGGTTAGGTTCCACCCAACTTCAAAGGTTGTTTGCTATTCAGTGTGAAAGCAACGTTCCTAACCCTAACCTCCATAGCTTAGCTACGGGGTCGAGCGGCAGCTGAGGTACCCTTGAAATTACCGAGAGTGAAGCATTGATCCCGCAGGTGACATCCGCAAGGAAACCGCGCGTTAGCGCTGCCCAAGCGACGCCCGCGTCCTGCCCAAAGAGCCCTTCAGAAAACCCCTCCCAGTACTTCGAAAGGTCCCTGCCAAAAATTCTGAAGGACCTCGTCAGCAGGAGAAAAATAGTTTCTGAGCTTATACTACAATCCCTGACGATATCCCCCTCCCCCCTCCCCCCTCCCACAGATTTCCCAGACCCGTTCCCCCTCCCTGATCACACATTGATGGAATTAAGCTGGTATGGTAGGGGGTAAGGAGTTGAGTGGCCCATTCAACCTGGACATGAGAGGAGTTCGATAGCTGGGCAGTGGGAATGACGGATGGGGCCCCTACCTCCTGTCGCTCCCTGGAGTAAGGAGGCCCATCCTCCTCATTCCAACTGGCACCTACCAGCCCTCCTTCGGTGCCTGCCTGAGCAGGGCCCCGCAATGGCACAGGCAAAAGTCAATAAGTCACTGTTCCCATATCCTGTGCAGTCGATCCCCTGGACTCCAGGGCAATCAATCCTGACAGGTCTCTGATTCATTTTCCTCCGACAAATTTGGGATACCTAATGTAAAAGGGACACTGGACCTGGTTTCCAACAGGTGAAGCTCCCCACCAATAGATGGAGCCTCCCCTGAGTGGTGCCTGCTCTTACCAACATCACTATCACCCCTGAGGGATGTTTAAAAAAAAAAAAAAAGAAAAAAAAAAGGACGGAGCAGGCCAGGTATGTATGTTGTAGCTTCGAATTCAGGTCCGTGTTTCCGCAGTTATGGGTTACTGACTTATTGTTACATGCTGAGAGCCTCCACACGGGCCCCTCACGAGACCCGAGGTTGGATAAGGGCCCCCAGGTCGCATCACCGCAACCTGGAGGCCCTACGGCCATTTCACTTAGGCCTGCATCGGAAAGACTTCAACTTTAAGTTGATTTCTTATTTATTTATTTACTGATGTGTTTTTACTAATGTGCTGTTGTCCGTTTTGTGGCCAGGTACACAGTTAGGACCAGGGCCGGAATCAGGCCCAGAGGCTGAGCCTCTAATTCAGTTTGGACCGTTACTCGTTTTCAGAAAAACGTTTGGACCTTTACTCGTTTTTGGCCAGACGTTTGGACCCTTACTCGTTTTTGGCCAGACGTTTGGACCTTTACTCGTTTTCGGACGGACTTTGGACCTGGACAGATGTTCAGGCCTGATGCATTCGCACAGGCCCTGAATCGGGCCAGGTACCAAATCGGCCAGACCTAGGCAGGGCCTGGACGTCCGGTAGGGACCCAGGCAGGCCGTTTTTTTGGCCAAGGACTGAAGCCTGCGATCTGGACCGCGGATCAGGCTTTGATCTACACGGCCCAGATTGCAGGCCGTGGACTACTGGGTCCGGCCCAGCACTACTTAAGCTGGGCCAGCGCCCAGTTCAGGAGGGAGGTACCAGGAGAAATCCAGCGTTACGCTGGTTCGAGACTTGGCTGCTGCGCTATTTTCAAGACTCCCTGCTGCGCTATTTCGGCTCCCTGCTGCGCTATTCGGACGGCAGCTTCGCTGCTCATCGGGAAGGAAGGTTCAGCGCTGGAGGAGTCCAGCGCCAGAGAGAGAGAGAGAGAGAGAGAGAGAGAGAGAGAGAGAGAGAGAGAGAAGAAGACTCACCTGGGCCAGCGCCATAGCGGGCTCCGCGGTACCTGCAGTTCAGCCATCGCCAGGTAAGTGCAGAAAGCGCCCAACTTTCTACCTCTTCTTCTTCTTCTTCTTCTTCTCCTCTCCTCTTCTCCTCCTACTCCTCCACAGTTCTTTCCTCTACTTCTTCTTCTCCTTCTTCTTCGTGATCAGAGTAGAGATAGAGCTGACTGCAGACATTGTTTGGACACGGCATTCTGCCTTATTGGACACGACATTCAGACCGGACTTACACGCTACATTGGGATTGAACAGTGCACGACATCCGGAGATCAGATTTGGGTTGGACTTGGTTACCTCCTATGTCCCTCCCCCCCCTTCTCTCTCGCATGTCTATGGATCTCTCCCTATGTGTGTGAGCGGAAGGGCAATCTTATGTCCTGCCCTTCCGAAGTTTCTCCCTTTCCTGTTGTTGTCCACGTSTCCTCTTGGTTACTGTTATTCCGCTGCGCTGTTCCCCARCCCATGATGATGATGATGCAAATGTGTTGTTGTTGTTTTTCTCGTTGGTTTACTTGTTGCATTGTGCACATTGACATCTGGTGAATGTTGCATCTATGCTGCTGGTTGTTGCCACTTTCATCATTGCTAGATCCTAGGCTGTTAGTGCATTTCACTTTCTGATATGCAACAAGTGGTATCGGAGCTTGTGCGATGAATCTTGGCAACAACCAATCAATCGATTGATTGATTGGATTGGCGGTCTGCCACCAATCAAACTTTGATTGATTGATTGATTGATTGATTGATTAATTAGGTTGATTGATTATTTGACAATGGTTTATTTAATCTTGGAAATTCCCGGAATTAATTATTATTTCTTTTTCCTGAGAATTTTTTTTTCCAAGAAATTATTTTTTTTTTCGAGAATTTTTTTTTTTCCGAGAAATTATTTCTTTTTCCGAGAATTTTTTTTTCTTCCGAGAATTTTTTTTTCCGAGCAATTATTTCTTTTTCGAGAAAATTATTTTCAAGAAATTATTTCCTTCTTTTTGAGGAAATTCGTTCTGAGAATTCTTTTTCCGAGAAATTCTTTTTATTACCTTATTTAATTATTAAATGTCTGCAGTTGACAAATTGGATTTTTTTTTCCGATAAAGTGCCTCTACACTTTCACTGCGCAGGTTTGCAAATTCCGTTCTTTTTTTTTCAAAAAAAAAAAAAAAAAAAAGGGCATTTTTTTCTTTTGCAACCTACTCCTACTCTGAGCTGTAAAGATACTTCTCTTCTGTTTCTGCCAGTTTGAGCACCAAAGGGTTACTATTGCGTTCTGCATCACCTTCGACACTCAGTGGTATTGGACAGTCTTTTCGTTTCGAATTTTGATTTATTTAAATTCTTTCTTAATTATTATTCTTTGCTTGATTAGGGAACTGTTCAATTTGGGATCTGTCCGACCCTTCCCACCTGTCTGCCCCCTACCTGTTCCTCCCCCTCCAGTCCGGGCACTGGGCCAGTCCGTCAGATTGGCCCTCGAGTGACTCTTCAGACTTCGGGCACAGCAGTGCATGACACTGCTCACTCGATCACAGACCAAGGCCATGGACCGGAAGGCGGGGGAATCCCTCCTGAGCTATGAGGAACGCCTGGCGGCATTCATTCGAGAGGCCAACGATAGGGCCGCCGCCGTGGCCAAGGAACGTCAGCAGCTTGAACAAGAGGAGGAGGCCAAGCGATAGAAGGAGAAACAGGACCGACTTCCTCAAGAGGAGGCAGACCTGCAGGCGGCAGCTGAACACCGGTCACGCCAGCGGGAACGACTGTTCACACGGGAGACCGTGGTCGGCGATGAGGCCGCACGTTGGGTGGAAATGGCATCTACAGACGAGGCCCCGGAGACTGAGAAAGGGCTGTCAGCCCTTGCACAGGTCTCCCACGACCTCGTGGCCACCTGCGCTCTGCAGCAGGAGGAAATCCTCCACCTGCAGCAGACAGTGGACCAGATGCTCGCACGRCTGCAGGCGTTGGAAAAACAGCCAGCAGCTGTAGCAGCCGCAGGGCCTGCAAACCTTGCGACCCGTGTTAAAGTCTTGGAGGACGACGTCGGCAATATCAAGCGTGTGCATCAGGACTTCAGGACGTCGCAGCAAGCAACGAACTTGCAGTTGGAGACGCAGGTCCAGGCGGCTGCCACCGTGACGCCCGCCGCGGCATCCTCCAGGCGCCCACCCAAGCTMGATGACATTCCAGTCTTCTGCGATCTGTCCAAGACGGAACCGATCCCGTGGTGGCGCCAGTTTACTCTCCGGCTCGACATGCACCATGTCCCGAACAACGATCGACATCCGTGCTTGTACCACCGATCTGGTGGTGCGTGTCAAGCATGGCTGGACAACATCTTGACCAGCCACGGCGTAGCAGTGTCGGAACTACACACCAAGCTCACTTGGCAGGAGTTGACWGACGCCTGRCACAAGCGATTCCAAGTGGAGCCRCSCGMCCTRCAAGCGATGGACAAGCTCAACAAGCTCCATCAAAACACGCTGGTCAGTCAGGACTGGATCACCGAGTTTCAAAGACTCGCCTCTACACCTAACCTCCCGCTCGCATTCCGCGCCATCAAGCACTTGTTTATCATGCGCTCGTGTCCGGCGCTGCAAAACGCGCTTACGCAGATTGCAGAGACACTCGACACATCCGACAAGCTGTTTAGCACATCGTCACGGATCATTCTGAGAAATATCGACGCAACAACCACGGCCGCGACAAGACGAAGACTCAATCCACCTCGACACCGAGCACTGGATCAGCCGCCGACGAACCTTGGGTACAATACGGACTCTCGGCGAACTCTTATCGCACGCGCCTCAAGTACCGGTATTGCCTTTGGTGCAACAACACCATCCACGATGCTGCACATTGCCCCACCAAGGGGAAACCCCGTCAGGGAAAGTAGGCGCCGCCGAGGGAAACTTGACACCTCCCTCGACGCCATCGGAAGCAGTTGTGGCCACGACCGCCCTTTCTTCCGAGGCATATGCGGATGTCGGGAGTCTTCAACTTTCGTTCGAAGACTTCGCTGCCCGTCTCGTTCCTTCACTGGATGCTWCTCAAGGACAAGATACATGTGCGGCTTTCTCACCGTCCGAAGGTTTCTCGGCTAGTTCGTCTTCATCAAGGGATTCGGCAGGCGTGTTCAACGAGGAGGCTTTGGACCCTCTCACGCCCGAGGACTTCGCTTGGATTCCTCTCCCTACGACGGGCAACCTTCTGGGGCCGCAAAGCGCAGCCCTATGCGCCCTCTTACACGAGTATCTTTCCTTCCATGCACCACCAACTTCGCCGAYGGTAGACGAAGTCGCGGTGGGGGACATGCTTGGCTACGTTGCCAAGGTGGCCCGCGAGTTTGTCTCGCAACGGTACGCAGAAAACAATGCACCGTTGCTCTACGTTCGCATTCAGATTGGGCAAGCGGCCTGCAACGCTTTGCTAGATTGCGGCGCAACTCGCAACTTCATCAACCAATTCTCATGACTCGGGCTGGCCTTGGCACACAAGTACGGAGGAAGTCACATCCGACGACGGTCGCTCTTGCCGACGGTAAGACGAAACAACTTTTAGACCGTTACATCTCGGCTGTCCCGGTGTACTTTGCACCGCACGCATGTGAACCCGTCACTTTTGACGTGTTGGACACCGACTTCGATGTCATTTTGGGGATGCCTTGGCTTTCTAGCGTGGACCACACGGT